AGTATGGGCCTGCGAGCCTCTCTTTCGAAGTCCAGTTGCTCGAAGGGGGCTCCGCGGTCATGGTCAGTGTTCCCTCTAAGCTGAGTCAGTGTGAGCTGGCTCACAGTTTTTTTCGCCCCCGGCTCACACATTTCTGTCTTAGCTCAGGAAGGATGGCTCCAGAGCAAACTAATTTATGCAGTAGCCAAATTGCTCGCTCGCAGCTTTAATGCCGGTAGCTCACAAAGTAGAATTTTTGTTCACACGACTCCACAGCTTAGAGGGAGCACTGTGGCCGTGGCCTAAATAGACCGGGGCGGCAGGGCGGCAGGGTTTTCTAACTGGCTGCCTCGCGGGACTGTTGTGTTTCGCTGGCCTCCTGGCTTCCCAGGGAGCTGACATGGGTTCTGCCCAGCCGAAGACTCTGGTCTTAGTTAGAGAGAGGGAGGGAGGGCAAGAGAAACTGGAGGCTGGGCTGGAATTCTTTAAAGCTCTTTCTCTTTTAGACCTTTCTAGACAAATGCATGTACTTTTTATCTTCCTTTTTTTTTAACCATCACCTCTAGAACCAAGGCGGTTGAAACTGCAGGCTGTAAACATTAATTCACAAACGATCCCGGTTTGCTTTGAAATCTGGTCCCCTGGCCGAGAGTTTAGGAGGCATCACAGGGAATGACGAAAATAGCCCGGCCAAGCCTGTCCCCCACCCCCTACGGCGCCTTTCCCCAGGATGCACCCACATCATGATTTATTGGAACTTTGGTGTCATTTCAAAATATGGCTGTTGCATTTATGTCATTTTTATTCATTCCTCCAAGCGATAGATCTGAGCACTTTTTATAATTTCCGTTGGTTGTCTGCAGAAGTGGCTAGGTTCTAAAACTAGAAAGGCCTGGGTTCCAGTCCAGCCGGTACCTTTTTCTGGCAGAAATTCAAGAGGTGCATCCCAGGACTGCTAGGTTTGAATTTCTGCAAAGCTACAGAATACCAAATCCCCTCCGGAGTCTGACAAAAAACCTGGCAACGTCCGTCTTGCCCGGAAAGTTTAGTGTCGTTCCCTGAGGAAGTGCCCGTGCACTTGTGATAACCAAGTAGGGAGAACAGACCAGGCCTCCACACATGCGCAGAGGCATTCTTGATGCTTTAGCTAAAGTCTGCTGGCCTCGGAAAGGGGTACCAGGGCCTGCTTTCCGCTCCTGCGCATATGTGCCCCCAAAGCATTGGATTTCTCTTTAGCGGTTGTGGGGTTAGGACGTTCCAATCCCGTAACTCTGAAACAAATTCCATTGAGTTCCAGCATGGCCTTTCCCCCCCTAGAAATGTGATGCGGATTCGAATCTTGCAGGCCGATCTTGTGCCTATTTATTTGGAAGCCAGTTGGGCTGAGTTCTGTGGTGTTTGCAATTTCGCACTCCGATCCTGGGCCACTGGAAGAAAACCCCCATTCAGTTCGATGGGTTGTAACTCCCTGTAAGTGAGATTAGGAGTCCAATTTGGCAGCTTGTCCCCTGTGCAGGGTAGCTGGGAGGGGAGCCCCCTCCAGTCCGACGGGATGTAACTCCCCGGCCAGGAGAGCAGGCTTGCAACGCGAGGTCTCCGCCCGGCCTTTGGCCCGCTCGGCGGCCAGTCGCGGGGCGTCCCGCAGGCCTGACTCTCCGCGGGGCGCTCTCCCGCCGGGCGGTGGGTGGGCCGGCGATGGGGGGGTCCGGCCCCGCGCCTTCTCACGCGCCCCCTCTCCCCCTCTGCCTCCCCCGCAGGATCTACACGGGCTGCGACATGGACCGCCTGACGCCCTCGCCCAACGACTCGCCCCGTTCGCAGATCGTGCCCGGCGCCCGCTACGCCATGGCGGCGGCCGGCTCCTTCCTGCAGGACCAGTTCGTCAGCAACTACGCCAAGTCGCGAGGCTTCCATCATCACCACCACCACCACCCGCACGCCCACCACCCGGGCGCCGGCGGCGGGGCCGGGGCCGGCGGGGCCGGCGGGGC